CTCGCAACGACCTCTCTGTGCTAGCTAATAAATTATCGCAAATAACTATTATTTTTGCATCATGTTCACTATAATTTTATTGTTAAATATTATTTTATTTAAATTTTACAATTATGCAACCCGATATACACCGCGCTGCAGCTGCACATTATTGTCACTGATGCCGACCAGCAGTAGGCTTTTTGTCCATCTCTCTATATCTTTGGTCATTACCTCTGTCGCTTGTCACTCTCAGATCAAATCAGATGTTTTTGGATTTATTTATCCTTTGTTTTGGTTATTGAAATTTTATAATTATCAGATAAAATTGCGTAGTTAAATTGGTTATTTTTGATGTGGATCGCAGTGTGCAATTCGTTCATTTAATTGTGGGAATTTCTGAGTTTAGTTCGTTCATTGACCGGATATGGAATATGGCTGAGGAGAAAATATTCTAGAACATCATTTTTTATTTATGCCTTTTTGTGAGTTGGACTAGTCAAGTTCTCTATCTATATCCTGGGGGGAGATTTCCGGTTGAAATCTGATTTTGTGAAGGAAATCGAATCCTTGCATCACTTCTTGTGTGCTCCCCGACCGAGAATATCGTCATGAAGAACTGGCTGCCGTTTCGTGAAGCATTCCCTGTTGGTGAATAGCAGGTCTTCGTAAAGAAGGATTAAGGCTTCCGAAACACATTTGGTCAGAAACGTGGTTGGATTTTGTTGAGTTTACATGGACCACCGACCAATTTCCGTAAGGGATTAAATAGCCAAATTTTTCCGACCGATATCCCGATTCCACGTGCCCAAGAAGTCCCCGAATAGTTCCAAGGTATGCTATAATTCTTCTGCCTATTCTAAGTCAATGCTCAACTGATTTTTGTTCATATTGCTGTCTGGTTTTCGACTTTTCCACGCCCACGTGGTGTAGAAAGATTAGTTGAGTGTTATCTTTCTTAAGTCTTATTGGGTTGTTCGTAATTGTAGAGCAAGAAGACCGATCCAGACCGTAGTACAGAACAGTCCAGAATCCAATCCGTTCCTGTTGTCCGTGTAGAGGTACCCGTTGGACATCATAAACCCTCGTTGAGGTAAATTTCTTTATTAACTCCTACACGTTGTGCTAGTCCTTGTTCTATAATTGAGGCTCTTTTCTAAGACAACCAATATTATTTAGGGTTTTTATGTTTACCATTTGAAACCTCAACAACTTGCCTCTCATCTGTACGTCTGCTGACATCCGTGGGCTCCAGTGACAGTACACCGAGCTGCTGTGCACCGCCGTAGCCACCCTGTAGCTATACACTGTAGCTCAGCCGGAGGAAGTTTTTAAGTACAATCGAATAGAGTAAGACTGTACAATTTTAGTTTAGATTTAGTTTGATATTTGTAATCCACACAGGATATTGTACTTGGTAGTTACACTCAACAGTTCGAGGTTAGTGTTGAAGTCTACTTAATAGTAACACCTTTTATGCCGAGTTCATAGTATAATCTCGTGGCGCCCTTTTAATAATATCTTTGAACCCCGACCACCCAGCTGTTAAAATTAAAAAGCTAGTGGCCTCTATGCAACTCATCCTAATTAAGTAAACTTGTGTTTTATTGAACTTCAAATTAGAAAGGGCGTGTCAATCATACAGTTTGAGGGCTATGACAATATTCAAAATGTCACGGGGCAATACCTTAGTAGATTGAAGCTTAGAAACAATGGCGAATGCAGTTTCTGTAGACAAAATGGAGAAACACCAGAGCAACGGAGATAGAGAACTATCCTCTGTAAAACCGTTACAGATACTGTTGTCAAGTCAGTGTGCTGTTGTCAAAGGCCCGAAGGAGATATAATAGATTTGTGAGATCTCGGTGATTAACTTCCCAACTCATATACAATTTGCAATCTACAGCCTCATAACTTAAATTAACATAAAACTGCTAGTATTTACCCAAAAAACCCCTATTTTGCTTCATGAATATATCCTTATAATAAAATACACGCTCCTAGTTGGTCGTTTGACTACTTTATTAAAAGTCCTTCTTTAATCAAAAAACTCGATCGAAAAAGTTAAAAATGACGCGCGGCAACTTGCATTTAAGCATTCTTCAAGTTTTTATAGTACTATAATTAACAAAGCAGAAGGAAAGAGATATAGTATGTACAAATACAGATATTTTCATATGCGATTTTAAAATTATTTATTATACGCATTACAGAGATGATTTGTTTTAGGAATAAATGTAATAACAGCCACTACCCATACCCAACAGGAGACCAAATAAAAATGTTACCAGCAAACGTTTTTTCTCCTTTTCCACAATGAAATACATGTTTTTATGTTTTAATAGTGTTATAATAAGTAGTAAAATGTTCTAATTATCTTGACCAGAAATTTTGATTGGCGTTGTTGACAGGTGACTAGGTCGAAGTTTCTACACAGATAGCGTTAAATCGAAACATTTTGGAAACAAGGTATCCATTTATTGTCGATTCATTATTGAAACACGAATTTCTCTTTTTTTAGATACAAATATGATTTAATGTAGATTATTTTTGTTCGACTCCATGTCAATTTTATAAAATAATGAATTAAAATTCCGCCATGTTGGCTAGTGATAGCGTTTTTAACTAAAAATATATGTTAAATAAATAATAAATAAAATAATGAATTAAAATTCCGCCATGTTGGCTAGTGATAGCGTTTTTAACTAAAAATATGTTTTTATCGGCTGTTTTTTACTACAGAACGCATTTTACTTACGTTGATTTGTATATTTTTATTTTTAGAACCATGATATAGAAATAAAAACAAAAATCTATATTTCAAACAAAAATATTTTGTAGCAACAAATTATGATATATATAAAAAGGGCATTAAAAGTATGAAACTAAACCTTTGTGCCAAATTTTAACAACATACATCGGTAACAACATCGATAATAAAAACAAACTAAATTAAAAACTTCATTTTTTTATAGCCAATCTCTCAAATATAAGTTATTTAACCTTATGAAAATAATTTAAAATAAATTTACTATTGCAACCTTTTCCTATTAATAAATAAACAACTACAAGTTACAAAATTAAGCTGCACATAATATCTACCTGTTTGCCCCTTATTTAGGTATTAAATTTAAAAAGTATGCTGTTATATCACGGTAGAGTAACAGCTTTGACGGATATTATAATATGAACTACCAGGCTTTTCACCGTAATCCTTGCTATATTAGTTCTTGGTTTATTGTAAAAGATCTAATAATAACTATGTACACAAAAACTTGGAACATGGTTTTAGTAAATACATTATTTAAAACAAGTGTTTTTTAGGTGCTTCAATAAAATTAGGGTTTTAATGTGTTTTCATAATTTGTACTTTTATGAAACACATTTTGTTATAAAATTTCTTTATAACGCCAAAAACGTATTTTATAGTCTATTTTTAATACAGAACAAGAATATTTTACTTATTTTAAGTGCGTAGTACGTGAAATGTCCTTTAAAAATTTTACTACAAATGGTATTTTTTTATTACTCAGTTATCAACGCGATATCTCTTAAGCTGTGTTCCTAAAGCCAGAACAATACTAGACGAAATTTTTGGTCAACTAGACTAGACCAACAAAGGATTAAGAATAGATGGAGAATATATTAATTATTTAAGATTCGCTGATGACATAGTCCTAATTGCCAATAGTCCTGAAGAACTATAAACACAAATTATTTGTTATACCACTTTTTACCTATCTCTTCGTTTTTACCTAAGTTTTCGTTCGTAGAAAATGCATTTTCTTATAATTTAGACCTAATTTATCAACTTACCCATGGAATATTGACATATTAGATTATGTTTAAAGATGTAACAAATTTTTAAAGAATATAGATACTAATATTGTCGATATAGTTCGTTTATTTCATTAAAAAACTAAAAAAACTGTTCAAATATTTGTTAAAGAGGACCAATTAATATGATTCCAGTTTTCAAACTACATTAATTAACTGTTTGCGTTGATTAATAATAATTGCTGCAAATAATAAAAAACTTAATTTTGTGTGTATTAGATAGTGTAGTAAAAAGTAACACGTTAAAAAATTTTTATAAAAAAAACTCTTTTATAAAGATTTAGATAGTTTACTTTTTGTATACAAATAAGCTAGAAATATTATTGTTTTTAGCACCTGTACATTTTGTAAATTTTTTGCTTTAAAAAATCTAAAATGTCAATATTCCATGGGTATATTGATAAATGAGGTTTAAATTATAAGAAAATGCAAAGGGATAGGTAAAAAATTGTGTAATACAATTTGATAGACAATTAAATTATGCATCTGATTCTTCTAAAACATACAGGGCGTTAATAAATATACAGTATTAAAATATACATTGTACCATTTAAATTAAACAAGTTATTGCCGTTTAAAGCTAGAAGTTATTTAAAATAAATCTTTAGACACTCTGTATGAAGTAGTATTATTTTTATTATTGCAACACAATAACTGATCATTAAATAAACTTCAGTAAATATTTAGTATTAAAAACTTTCATACCCTTGGAGAAGAAGCCTTAAAATTTTTACTGCAATTTCACAAATTTAAATATTTCAAAAACGGTAAGATTTAAATGTGATAACCCTTAATCAAATTTACCTTTATTTTAATCGTAGAATCTAAAAATGTAATAATATAGAGGGTGTTTCGTTTAAAAAATACAGCTTTAATATTTTTTATATATTTGGGACACTCTCTATTTTGTAAAAATAATTTTGAATTGTAGCTTTAATAGTTCTTCAAGGAACCCAAAACTTACAATTTGTAAAAATCTAATCGTTTAGCTACAAAAATACTTCGTGTCGTATGTGTTCAACAACCCTGTATATTTTACAGCTTCAAGCATCGAACAAAACGTATTTAATAAAAATAGCTCTATAATACAGTTACTGCCTACAGAACTAACTTTCTTAAATGTATAACTGAATTTTATTTGTTTAACTGTATTGAAAATTATTTGATATTTTTATCTGTTCCAGGATTCGCCCCCTTCATCGACGGTACCATCCTGGTCAACCCCACCTCGCCGCCGCCCACCGCCAGCTCCTCAACCATAGCCACCTCCGCCGGCTACGAGCTGGCCGACTTCCCCGACCGGAACCTCCTCTTCGGCCTCACCAGCACCGAGTCGTACCTCGACCTAAACGCGCAAGACCTCGAGTTCGGCCTCAACGAAACCAAACGCGACCGCATACTAAGGACGTACGTTCGAAACTCTTACTATTTTCACTTGAACGAGATCTTTTCCACGCTGAAGAACGAGTACACTGACTGGGAGAGGCCCAGTCAGAACCCGCTCAGTGTGAGGGACGCCACGTTGGACGTGTTGAGTGACGGACATACTGTGGCGCCGTTGGTGCGGGTGGGATACTTGCACTCGTTGGGGAAAGGCAAGACGTTTTTTCTGCATTTTCAACATCACGCAGGAGAAAGGGATACTCCAATGGTAAGTTTTTTCCTGATAATAAGTGCGGTAATAATATTCTTTGCCAAGGAGAACATAGAATTACGATGAGTTTTTAATTGTCTAGAACACACCAATCTGCCTAAATTTATTATGATAACCTCTCTCTGATGTTCTAACGTCTCCTAGCTTTCTATGAAGTTTATTATTTGAATGGCGCAGTCAGTAGGATAATACAGCTATTTATGTAACAAGTTGCGAAATTAATGTGTTTTAAGCACGGGACGCAAAATTGTCATGGACAACGCGTCGAGTGCTTAAAACACTCTTCTCGCAACGAATTTCATTTCAATTTCATGTAAAAGCGGTTAATTTGAGATTTTCATGCTATTATTATTATTTATTTTTAAATATTTTTTAAAATGTTCTGGTAATCGGTTTCGATCGCTGTCAGATTCAAACGTCGCCGTATTTCCTACAAAGTTTTGTGAAAAAATGAGTGATAATTACGAGTCTTTCGATATTCAACAAGCTGCTAAAACTGCGCTATCCACGTTAGTGCCCGAGAAGTCGAAAAACTTATACGAGACCACCTACAACAATTTTGAAACCTGGGTCAAAGAAAAACATGTTGAGAATTTCACAGAAAAGATATTGCTAGCCTATTTGCTGAAGTTATCCACTACCTTAAAGCCGTCAACTCTGTGGAGTAAATATTCGATGCTCTCCGAGCCATGATTTACCTGAACAGAAACGTAGATATTAGCAAATTCGCAAACCTTACTGCATTTTTAAAAAGAAAGAAATTTACTTATTCCGACTCTTACAACTTGCATTTCTCTTAAAGACGAAAAGTTGGATGCCTCTTGTATTCACTTCAATAATTTAAATAATTGTACCTTTAAGATTTATAATAAATAAATATTTTCATTGTTTCTAACGTTTCATTTTTACTTTTAGGCACTAGTGCCTAAAAAAGTGTCACTTTTAGATACTAGTGCCTAAAAAGAATGTAATTTCGAATCTGAAATAAATATCAAAAACTGTCAATTTCGAAACACTTTCACAAAAGTCAGTTTTGTTATATAAACCACACTTATATAAGAAAAATTGATAACATATAAATATATTATCAATTCAGCTTGCCATAATATTCTTTGGCAAGCTAAACATAGAATTACATCTCAACACACCAATCTGCCAAAATTTATTATGAAAACCTCTCTCCACTGATATTCTAACGACTCCTAGCTTTCTATGAAGCTTATTATTTGAATGGCGCAGTCAGTAGACTGGAATGCGAAAAAAGCGTACACAAAGCAATGAGTAAAAAGAAAACGGTCAACAGAGGATTGTACGAATAGAACAGGCTCGAAATAGAGTGTCGAACAATTTAGAAATTTTTTTTCAAAAAACAAAACATTGACTGCTTTTGATTTTCTTCACCTAACTTGCGTTATTTTTTCAAATAATATATTAAAGGGTAGTCTCTAATAAAAAGATCTATAAGATACTTTGTAGAGATGTAGATTGTATGGGAAAGGGGTATAGGAGCTTACAGATCTATTGTGCCCCCATTTCTTGAGTTATAATGCATCATGTAACACTCAAATTTCCTCGCAACGACCTCTGTGTGCTAGCTAATAAATTATCGCAAATAACTATTATTTTTGCATCATGTTCACTATAATTTTATTGTTAAATATTATTTTATTTAAATTTTACAATTATGCAACCCGATATACACCGCGCTGCAGCTGCACATTATTGTCACTGATGCCGACCAGCAGTAGGCTTTTGTCCATCTCTCTATATCTTTGGTCATTACCTCTGTCGCTTGTCACTCTCAGATCAAATCAGATGTTTTTGGATTTATTTATCCTTTGTTTTGGTTATTGAAATTTTATAATTATCAGATAAAATTGCGTAGTTAAATTGGTTATTTTTGATGTGGATCGCAGTGTGCAATTCGTTCATTTAATTGTGGGAATTTCTGAGTTTAGTTCGTTCATTGACCGGATATGGAATATGGCTGAGGAGAAAATATTCTAGAACATCATTTTTTATTTATGCCTTTTTGTGAGTTGGACTAGATATATAGTTCTCTATCTATATCCTGGGGAGATTTCCGGTTGAAATCTGATTTTGTGAAGGAAATCGAATCCTTGCATCACTTCTTGTGTACTCCCCGACCGAGAATATCGTCATGAAGAACTGGCTGCCGTTTCGTGAAGCATTCCCTGTTGGTGAATAGCAGGTCTTCGTAAAGAAGGATTAAGGCTTCCGAAACACATTTGGTCAGAAACGTGGTTGGATTTTGTTGAGTTTACATGGACCACCGACCAATTTCCGTAAGGGATTAAATAGCCAAATTTTTCCGACCGATATCCCGATTCCACGTGCCCAAGAAGTCCCCGAATAGTTCCAAGGTATGCTATAATTCTTCTGCCTATTCTAAGTCAATGCTCAACTGATTTTTGTTCATATTGCTGTCTGGTTTTCGACTTTTCCACGCCCACGTGGTGTAGAAAGATTAGTTGAGTGTTATCTTTCTTAAGTCTTATTGGGTTGTTCATAATTGTAGAGCAAGAAGACCGATCCAGACCGTAGTACAGAACAGTCCAGAATCCAATCCGTTCCTGTTGTCCGTGTAGAGGTACCCGTTGGACATCATAAACCCTCGTTGAGATAAATTTCTTTATTAACTCCTACACGTTGTGCTAGTCCTTGTTCTATAATTGAGGCTCTTTTCTAAGACAACCAATATTATTTAGGGTTTTATGTTTACCATTTGAAACCTCAACAACTTGCCTCTCATCTGTACGTCTGCTGACATCCGTGGGCTCCAGTGACAGTACACCGAGCTGCTGTGCACCGCCGTAGCCACCCTGTAGCTATACACTGTAGCTCAGCCGGAGGAAGTTTTTAAGTACAATCGAATAGAGTAAGACTGTACAATTTTAGTTTAGATTTAGTTTGATATTTGTAATCCACACAGGATATTGTACTTGGTAGTTACACTCAACAGTTCGAGGTTAGTGTTGAAGTCTACTTAATAGTAACACCTTTATGCCGAGTTCATAGTATAATCTCTGGCGCCCTTTTAATAATATCTTTGAACCCCGACCACCCAGCTGTTAAAATTAAAAAGCTAGTGGCCTCTATGCAACTCATCCTAATTAAGTAAACTTGTGTTTTATTGAACTTCAAATTAGAAAGGGCGTGGCAATCATACAGTTTGAGGGCTATGACAATATTCAAAATGTCACGGGGCAATACCTTAGTAGATTGAAGCTTAGAAACAATGGCGAATGCAGTTTCTGTAGACAAAATGGAGAAACACCAGAACAACGGAGATAGAGAACTATCCTCTGTAAAACCGTTACAGATACTGTTGTCAAGTCAGTGTGCTGTTGTCAAAGGCCCGAAGGAGATATAATAGATTTGTGAGATCTCGATGATTAACTTTCCAACTCATATACAATTTGCAATCTACAGCCTCATAACTTAAATTAACATAAAAAACTGCTAGTATTTACTCCAAAATAACCTATTTCTATTTTACGTAGAATATATCCTTATAATAAAATACACGCTCCTAGTTGGTCGTTTGACTACTTTATTAAAAGTCCTTCTTTAATCAAAAAACTCGATCGAAAAAGTTAAAAATGACGCGCGGCAACTTGCCAAAATTGCAGCGGCTGTGGGAGCATCTGCCTTTGATCCGTCCTAACTAAAACATGCTCGCGCGGGTCTAATACTACTTTCGAAAATATTAAATAATATCATTAGGGCTTTTAAAGCGCCGCCTAAAGAGGGAAAGCTGCAGCCATTATATACTTCGTAATTGAGTTTTAAAACTTTCGCGTCAACCTCGAGAATAACCTTTTCCGACTTAAAAAATGAAAATTCGTCGAAAAAAGGTACATAAGAATTTTTTGTGCAGCAATTTTTGTAAAAAAAATACGTGTTATTTATTATTTATATATTAAATGCTGTGCACATTAAATATATGTTACGGTTAAAGTCCGCTATCCGGTTAATCTCGACATTAACATGTTAATGTTTGGGTTAGGTTATGTTTTTGGTGGTTTTGTTGTGTGTATTTTCGAGATTAACCGGGTAATGTCGACATTAACCGGACATCGGACCTTAACCGTAACATATATACATAGAACATAACAATCAATCAGTAACTGCTAAAAAAGTGTGAATCAGATACACGAAAATTATGAAAAATGTAATTTTCCGAACATTTCAAAAACTGTCAAGGATAATACATTACAATAGAATAATTATTATAAAAATTGGTAAAACAAGTTCACCTTTAAATTTTCGAATTAAAGAACACAAAGATTACTAAAAATTGGAAATAAAAATACTAAAATATGCAGTATATCCTCGTATAGGCATATAGACAGTATTAAAAACAAACCTATAATATCCATAAAAAACATAGAATGTAAAAAATGCCGAGTCTCGCAACACAATTCTTCCACTATAAAATGTTGTGAGATCTCATGCAAAACCAAGTCAGTTTACTTTATTTGGCTTCTCTTTAAGCACCTATTCAACAATTTTGTTACAAATTGTTAGTATAAATATTAGTCATCTTTATTTCTGTAATAATTATAATAATTTGGCAAATGCACGATATGATATTCTATACTAATTAAAAAACATTATTTTTAAGGGCACAATTTACTTAGTAATCGGAATGGTAGATTATCCTTTTATAATTATTGTGCTGCGCAATTCCAAGTCATTATAAATATTAAAGAAATATAGATAACTAATATTGGCACTAACAATTTATAACAAAATTGTTGAATAGGTGCTTAACGAGAGACTAAATAAAATAAACTGACTTGGTTTTACATGAGATCTCACAACTTTTTATAGTGGAAGAACTGTGTTGCGAGACTTGGCATTTTTTGTTTTTTTTATGAGATTATACTGTGTTTTTTATGAGATCTGATTTCTTTTTGTACTGATTTCTTTTGAAAATCGACAACTATGAAACTATGATCCCTTCCTGGTCA